GGCCTGCTTGCGCCGCGCGGGCGCTGAGCCAGCACTGGGGGCGCGCGGGAGGAAGACCCGGCCCTGCCCCGCGGGGGCCGCCACTTCCCACCGGGCAGGGGTGGAAGAGCGGACGGGGTCAGTGCTGACCTCTGCCCCGTGCCTGCGAGAGTCCACGGCCCCGGAGAGGACCCGGGTCTCCCGGAGGGAATCCGACCAAGAGGCCAGAGTCTCCCTGCCCCGCCGAGCGCCTCCCAGGAAAGCCCCTGGGCCAGAGAGCCCCCCGGCCTGAGGACCTTCCTTTTCTCGGGCAGGCTGGGGTTTCTTCAGTCCTGTGAGGGGTTCCGGATCTGCTGCTCTTCTGTCGGGATACAGAGACGGAGGCCCCGCAGGTGGAGGTTACTGGGTTACCAGGTGACCTCGAGGACACCCAGAGCCACGCAGCAAAGACTCGGGCCGCCACTAGAGGGCGTGAGTGCTCTGACCCGGAGTGTTCCTTCAAGCAGAGGCGGTCCACCTTGGGCGACTCTCAGATTCCCGGAGCCACCTCTACCTAGACAAACTCCTGGTACTCCGATCCAGCAGGCAGTGCGGACTCCCAGCTTCGGCCCAGACCTGCCCTCTTCTGGCTGACGAGTCCATTTGTCATCACAGCGTCAACTATGTTCCTCTGTCAGAAGGCACCCGCCCCACTGTGCAGGGCCCCCTGGGGTAAGGGACGGGGACCCCACCTCCCTGGAGCACGCAAACACTCAGGGTCCCGCAGGTCCCCTGCAGGGGTCCTCCCCACCCAGCTGTCCACCCTGCATCGTGGGACCTCCTCTCAGAAACTCCTGCCCCTGTCCCGCAACGTCCTCTGGGGCCACCTCATCTTTGCGCCGGGGGCCTCACAGGCCCTGCCCCGTGGCTGTGTCTCCTCCCCCACCGGCAAGTGCTGCAGCATCAGAAGCTCCACCTGAAGCAGTGGCCTTCGGCCCCCTGCGTTCTTGGCCCTGGGGGCTTAAGAAAAGGGAAAGGAGCTGGCCCTTGTGGGAGCGCACCAGCCCAGGGTGAGCCTCGGCCGGGTGCCGCCCCCACGCAAGCGGGCTGAGCAGACAGCGCGGCCCAGCAGAGAGTTCCCAGAGCACAGCGTCCTGCGGAGTCCAGAGCGGACGCACAGCTCCGCCTGAGGTTCTGAAGAAGACTTGGTGCGTGGATGGCTCGAGGCCGTGTGCAGAGAACGCCTCCTGCAAGGGCCGGATCGCCGCCCACCAGGGGTGAACCACGTCCCGGCATGAGTGCCCGGGAGGTCTTGGAGGACCAAAGGTGAGGGGAGATGGGGCCGCAGAGAAGGGGCCTTTGCAAGAGCTCTTTCTCCTGTGTGGCATCAGCCAGCCTGGCTCCATCCCCGTGATGGCCACCGGGGCCTGACCTGCTGCCTGAGGCCCCACTGGCCCTCCTGGCCCCTGCCCGGGGCCCTCTGGCCTCTCCCTGTGCTGGGCCTGGGTAGGCCCAGGCAAGGATGCAGAATGCGAGGGCAGGAGATGCACCGCCCCACCTACCAGGGGCTGGACTCCTGCCTTGAAAGGGGTGGGGGCCCCTGACGGCGAAGGCGACACAGACTGGGGGACACGGAATGGGGGGGAGGTGTGTTGCTGCTGCTGTTTCTCTTCCCCCCGCGTTTGAGAGCGAAAGGCAGAGATGGCTTTAAGAAAAGGAAAAGGGAGCTCAGGTTCCTTGGAAGGCGGTGCAGGCTGCCGGGGCCTCCGCGATAAACGTGGGAAGGCCTCTGTCTCCCCTTGGGCAGCCAGTGCTCGGGTTCACTCTGGGCTTCTCCGCACGTCTCACAATTTCACAGTGAGAACCCGTTTTCAATTTCACTGAACCCGTTTATGTGCCTCTGTCCGCAACTGCGTGTGGGCGCAAGGGGGCTCCTTGCTTACTTGTGCCCTGCCCCATCACCCCATTTCTCCCACCTCACTCTCAGCTACTCCCCTAAGGGCTTTGGGGTGGGATGCAGAGGCAGGAGACCCTGGACCTTAGAGACACACAGCGGGCTCAGTCCTGCTACTGGCAGGGCAGAAAGGACATCCCAGCCCGGCCCCAGATGCCCCAGCTTCGTCAGTGCCCCCCACCCCACGCAGGGCTCTCCATCTCCTGTGTGTGAGCCGGGCCATTCCCATTGCCGGGTTGCGCTGATTGCTGCCCTCTGCTGACCTAAAGTCAGCATTGCATGCCCTCTCCCGCTAGTTTCCCAACTCCGGGGTGAGTCCATTAGTCACCTGTAGCCGGGAGCAGCGGGCACAGGTGTGTGGAGTGCATGAGGTGGGGGGTGTGTGACGGGGGCACTGGGCGCGCCTTGACCGCTGCACGGGGAGAGCCACAGCCTGTTCTAGCCGGAGGGCAGGGCTCAGACCTCTGAAGGATCAGCAGATGCACGACGGGTTCTGCTTTGATTCGGGGGGTGGGACGGGAGGTCAGGTCAGGCACAGGCTTGCTTGCTGCCTGGGACAGAAAGAGCAGGACCAAGCAGGACAACTGGGGAGGGGGCTGGGCTGTTGGGCATCTCCAGGTCCTGGGTTTGGGGGAAAGAGCCCCCAAGTGTCCCCGAAAAGTCCAGAGGCTTTGCCCATCAAGAGTGAGGGCCTGTGCCGGCCAGACCGGGACTCTCGGAGACCTGCGACCCGACTCCCACCTCACCAGCTGCTCCTCCACAGAGACCTCCTGCTGAAGGTGTGCTCCTGGGAGTGGGGGGCTGGCACTTGGTGAACCCCCAGGAACAGGCACAGGATCACCGCAGCCCCACACTGGGGCTCAGAGAACACACGCTCCTCAGAGCCACGCCTGCCTCGTGTGGAACGGCCAACCTGCTGCGCCCAAGGTCACACGCGTCCCCAGACGCATGAGAAGAGGGTGACTTCAAACCCATGCTTGGGAGTGTGCGCGCTGTGCTTCTCCTCAACTGGAAACAGAGCTGAGCCTAAGGGACCTTCAAACAGGGTGCCCCCACCCCTGCAGACCCCCTCCCAGCTAGCCGCCCAGAGGGATGTGCGCCCAGGAGCTGCTGACACCCCTCCCCTCTCCTGCGGCACCTGCTGGCTGGGGCCTGGGCAGAGGCCTCCTGTCTGAGCGCAGGAGTTGGGGGGCGGCACTGTTCTTCCAGAAAGGGTGACTGGGGCAGCCATCAAGGGCAGCCACTCAGGAGCCCAGAGCCAGACCTCTGGCCCCTGGCTGCAGCTCAACCTCGGCGAGGCCCCACCCCTTGGGCTCTGTCTCCTCGGCCACAGCGCGAAGCTCCCCGTCCTGCCTCTGGGAGGCTTGTGGTACCTACCGGTCAGCGCTCCTTTAGTGGACAGACACCCACCTGGAGCAAAGGGCAGTTCCTGACAGCCAGTAGGAAGTGGTATCTGGCGTCTCTCCTCTTGGGCGTCCTCAAGGTGTCTGCGTCCCAGCCTCTCACCGCCGGCCAGCTGCCTCTGCTCCTCCAGCCACATGGGAGACCATGGCCACTGGGACCACCATTTGTGCAAAGTCCAGCCCAAGCCTGGGGACCCCGCCCTCCCGTCTTGGCTCTCTCCAGGCGTATCAGACAGCCAGGCCCCTGAGGCCTTCAGCTGGGGTCCTGTCCCAGAAGCAGACCCTCAGACAAAGGTTCAAGTCCAAGAAGTGTATTGGGGAGGTGACCTCAGAAAACCTGGGAGGTGTGTCGGGACTTGAGGTAGAAAAGGGAAAGAAGCAATAAAAGCTGCATCTCGGCCCGTTATCCCCACGGGGAGGGGAGGGGGGCACTGGGTCAGAGGAACCCCCCAGAGGAGCCCAGCGGGAGGGAGCCGGCGTCTGTCCACCTGCCCTGTCTGTCACCAGCTCTGCTCCTGGACACTAACCACAGGCGCCAGCCTGCAGGTCATGATTACCAGGACCACCAGGCCCCTTGGTCAGTCCTCCCTGCAGTCAGCCCGGATGAGCCTGTCTTTGGCCCTAACGAGTCAGGAACCGACAAGGCTGAAGGCCAGCCTGGCTGTGAGCTGGGGGCCTGTCCCTGCTGAAGTCCCTTGGGAGACCCTTTGCACTCACTGCCCAGAGGGCCTGCTCACCGCACACGCCACGTCCGGGGCCTCTTCACAGCCTTGACCTCCCGGGTCGCTGGCGGGAAGGGGGCCTTGCTTTGTGGCAGCTGTGTTTCCTGAGACCCAGGTCTTTGGGAGCCCCTTTGTTGACCAACATTCGGGTCTAAAAGAAGGACCAGTTCTAAAGGCCTGGACGTGGCCACTGCCGTGCCTTTGAAGACACGGAGCCCCAGAGCAGGGCCAAAATAAGAGGCAGCCCCGAGGTGGCCTCCGTGACGGGCGGCCACTACAGATGTGTGTGCCTGGGGACAGGCTCTGGGATCCGTCCAGTTTCTCACCAGCCTGGAAACCAGAAAGGTGCCCGTGCTCCCAAGAGTCGCGCTGTCAGGGGAGGGGTACACGCATGGCCGCAAGAACCGCAATAGCCAAGGGACTGAGGTCAGACCTCTGTGGCCAGGCTGAGCCGCCGGTGGTGGGGGGAGAGCGCAGTGGGCTGGGGAGGCCTTGCCCTGCGGTGGCGTCCTGAGCACAGCTCGGGCAAAGGCTCCGAGGTGGGGCCCCTGAGCCTCTGAGATTGAGGTCCTGCTGCTCTGAATCTCGAGCGAATCACCAGCCCGGATTCCCTCGAGGATCCCGGCCCCGGGACAGGGGAGTCCAGGAGGCTTGGGGAAGATCTGGTCTTTAGAGCCTCCCCTGCTACGGGATGGAAGCTGAAGGGGTCCTTCCCCACAGCAGACAGACGAGGCGGCACAGACGGACAGCCAGCCGCTCCACCCCTCCGACCCCACAGAGAAGCAGCAGCCCAAGCGGCTACACGTCTCCAACATCCCCTTCCGGTTCAGGGACCCCGACCTGCGGCAAATGTTCGGGGTGAGTGTGTGCGGGCCCCTCCGTCTGCGCCCCCGCCCGTCCCCACCCCGCCCCTAGCACGGAGCCAGGGGGTCAGAGCAGCTCCCAGGGTTTCCGGCCTCCCACTGCCCTCTGGGTCCAGCCCCTCCCTGACCCGAGCTGGGAGGTGGGAGGGCCCAGGAAGGACACAGGCTCAGGTGGAGGGATCTGTGTGGCTGCCACCCCCAGCCCCCAGGCAGAAATCCGCCCACCACCCTCACCACCTGTCCTCAGGGCTCATGGAGTCCCCTCAGGCTCTGGGCCAGTGCAGGCAGGTTAGCACTGTGCTGGCCCATCCTTCTGACCCCCGTAGCCCCAGAGAGCACCTGGAGGGGCAGCCCAGCCTCCTGGCCTCACACCCAGCAGCCCCTGCCTGTCCTGTGAGCTGGGCGCCAGGCACTCAACCTCTCTGGCCCCGCCTCCTCCAGGCTGTGGGTGGGACGACAGAGAACACAGGGTGGGAAGCAAGCTGGCGCTCCCATCCTGGATTCTCCAGGCTGTTCCTAGATTTCTCTGTGGGACTCCAGCCAGTTGCAGGGTTACTGTGACAACCTGCAGGGCTGCCCAGCGGGTGGGTGAGGGGGCAGCAGCCTGGGTTCAGCCCCGCATCCAGGCCCCCAGCCTGCTCTGGCCCGTGTTTCTTCCCTCCCCCATGCTGCTTCTGCCCCAGACTCTCCACCTGCCTGTCCTGTGCCCCCCTCCACTTCTGCCCCACGTCAGGCAGGCCCTGACCCCTGAACCCCAGCCCTGCCCTCGGGTCACCCCTCAGCCCAAACAGGAATTGTCAGGCACAGGGGAGGTGGCCTCGGGTGGACCCTGACCCCACACCTGCCCTTGCCCCATATATCCACTCCCCTTCCTGGGGGCCAGACCCCACTGGATCTGACCCAGTGGAGTGCAGGCAGGACTTAGAATCATCAGAAGATGAGGGCTTCTGCCCCTTCTTGGGCCTGGGCCTGGGCAGCTGCGAAGCCCCTCTGAGCCTGGGGCCCCCACTTAAGCCAGTGGTGTCACTAGATCGGTCCGCTTGGACACCTGTCTGATCCTCGCATCCTGGGCCTCAGCACACTGGGTCCCTACAGGCGCCCACCAGCTCTTCGCCCTGCCCCACAGTGGGGGTGCACCGGCCTCCCTCTCTGGTGCTCGGCAGGGCTGGCACTGCCTCGCTGTCTGGCTCCATGTGACTCACTGCCCACTGTGTCACCCACCTCCTGAATGTTATGGGGTGAAGGCAAAACCCATCAACTGTGTGCCCTGGAGGCCTCAGGTCATCAACTGGCATTTTAGGGGACCTGGTTCACAGGTTCCCGGTCTCACTGGCCAGTAAGGAAGACAGGGCTGCTCCTTGGGGATTCTGGGCCAGGGATGGGGCAGGCAAGGGGCAGCCAGAGCGTCTGGGCCCAACCAAGTCATAATGTCGTGGTCGGGCAGAGAGGCCTGGGGTCACTGCCCTCTGCACCCCACAGCCCAGCCCCAAACAGCACAGACGTCAGGCAGCACAGGGTCCCTGCCAGGCACTCTGTCTCTTCCAGGGGCTCCTCTCCCCCTCAGCATCCTACCTTTTAAGAAGGGCTTATCCAGAGCCCTGTACCTGTTCTATGTGAAGCAGGGCTGGCTGTCAGCAATTTGTGGCAAAGTCCCAGCAGGGAGAGGAGAGGAACACTGGTGACACCGCAGATGGGGCCAGTGTCCTGGCAGGAAAAGCTCTCTGCACCGGAAGATGGAGAGGGGTGTCCCGGCCCACCCACCCTGCCAGGTTACACCAAGAGCCCCTCCTCATCCCTGCAGGAGGCAGAACGGGGGCCCGGGGTAGAGGACCAGATGCGAGCAGTGGGCAAGGGTCCCGTGGGAGCAGGCAAGCCAGGCCGGCGGTCTTAACCCACCCTCTCCTGTCTCCCCCACCCCCCTCTCTGTCTCTGCAGCAATTCGGAAAAATTTTAGACGTGGAGATCATTTTTAACGAGCGGGGCTCCAAGGTGGGTGCCACCCAGAGGCCGCCACCATTACAGCGCCGGCTGTAGGTCCCGCCAGGCTAACGTGTGAAATGTGCGTTTCCGTCCTGGAGAGCTTCGAGCCTGAGGACCCCTGAGCGACACGGGTGCTTGTACTCCCCGCTCCTCCGCCCGCCCCCCCCTCCTCCCCTCCCGCTGTCTCTGTTGTTGCCGCCGCTGCGATGCTGCCTCCTCTCCATGCTGCCCGGACCTCTCTGTCTGCACTTGGAACCCCAGCCCCTGGGCCTGGGTCCCCAGCCTCCCCCAGGGCCGCTGGCCTCCCTGGAGCTGCCTGGAGGCTTGGGGGAGGGCCTGCAGGGGGCAGGTGGGAGGGTGCTCCCCACTCCTGGATGGGAAGACCCCCTCGGGGCTCCTGGGGTGTAGATGGGTGGGGCTGCCCACCCCAGGTCCAGAAGCCCAGCCTGGGTTACGGCAACAATCCTGGTCCCTGCTCAGGTCAGCGTCTCTTTTATTGCTTTGGCCTGTCCCCTTGGGTGCCAGGCGGTCAGTTCAGGCCAGCTCAGGCCAGGCCAGCGGCTGCCCCCACCTGGGGCCTCACCCCTCCTGGGCATCCTGCCGGTGGCACCAGGACTGACCTCTGGGCTGCCTGAGTCTCTCCTTCAACTCACCTGACTCAACCCCTCTCTCTCTCTCTCTCCCCCCTCCCCCCATTGCCCTGCCCCCTCCCACCCCCCACGCCTCCTTTTTTTTCCTTTTTCTCATCCTATGTCTTTCTCTCCGTGTCTGTCCTTCTCCGCTCACAGGGTTTTGGGTTTGTAACTTTTGAAACTAGCTCAGATGCTGACCGAGCCCGGGAGAAGCTGAATGGGACGATCGTAGAGGGACGGAAAATTGAGGTGCTCAGATAAGTGTGCCGCGGCAGGGACGCCCTTGAGAACCGCCTCCGGTCACCCCGGGCCCCCGCCTGCCCCGCCACTGCCCTGCAGATGGCCCGGCCGGTCCTGGTGGCAGGGCCCCACTGAGGCAGGGCCGAGCACACCACCTGCCGCCCGCCCCTTGTGGGTCTAGACCTCGGGCTCACCCAAGGGCCCTCACCCTGCCCCTCCCTCTCCTTCCTGGAGTAGCCCCCCTCCCAAGCTCGGGCTCATCCAAACATTGGGAGGAGCCCCAGAAGTCATGTGTTTGAGGCTTGGCAGCTCCAAGGACCTCAGTCAGCCACGCCTGTCCCCTAGTTGGGAGGGGTTCATTAGTTCCCCGGCCCTCTCTCACCAAGGAGCCACAGCTGCCCAGGTCTCCCCCTGCCCACACTGCCCCCGTCTGCAGTCTGCCTCTGGTCTTCATCCCGCAGAGGGTCGGTAGCAATAAGCGGCCAGGGCCTAGAAAGGGAGCCAGCCCAGAGGAGCAGAAGGGAGAGGAGGCGAGGGGGCCCCCTGCCCCGCCCCAGGGGCTGCGTGTGCCCACTCAGGGCTGTGGCTCTGGTTCTGGGAGCTGGGCTTCCCGAACAGGCAGGGCAGCGAGGGCGGCCAGAGAGGGGAGGGGTCTTCCCATGGGAAGGGCGGTGGGAGGGCTTGAGGGGTGTTTCCAGGAGGGGAGGGGGTCCTGGAGGCGCTGACCTCGGCCAGGCTCCCGCCCAGCACCCAGGGGCACAAGAGGCTGCGGCCCACCCAGACATGGGGGAGGCGGCGCAGCCCAGACCCCTTCCCCGAGTTCCACACCTGCCCAGTTCTCTGCTCCCTCTACAGAGGCCCTCCTCCTCCTCCCTCCTCCGTCCCACCCTGGCCCTCTGGGCAGGCTGACCAGAGGCTTAGATGTCTGGACAGTAGGACCCACCCCCTTGGTGCCCACCTGCCCCCTCTCCATCAGCCTTGCCCCCACAGGCACCTGTGCCCCCTGAGGAAGGTCTCTGCTGGCCTCGAGGGGAAGGAGTGCTACCCCCCAGGGAGGGGTGGCCACACTAGCACCCACCACTGGGAGCACCTCGGCAGCCACTGGGCAGAGGCGTCTTGGGGACCGGTCTGTTAGCTGGGCTAGGAGCACTTTGTGCAGAGTCTGCCAGCCACCTTGGGGTGCCAGAGAGTGGCTGGGGCTTGGTTTGTGGGAACAGCCGTGTGAAGGGCAAGAGCCAGGGGCTGGACATGGTGCCTGAGCCGGGGTCCAGGGCCTGGGCCAAGCGGGGCACCAACCAGTGCTGGGAGCAGTGGTGGCCCGGGCTCCCGGGAAGGGGAGCAGCATGGGGAAGAGAGGAGGCCAAGGAGGAGGGCAGGCCGTGGTGGGAGTCCAGGCTGGTGGCAGAGGCTGTCCCATGCCTCCTCCTGGGTGCCCTGGGGCCTCCTCCCCCGCCCCCAGCCCCCTCCCAGGTGGCCACAGAGAGTTCAGAGCAGGACTGGGGCGGCCAGTGGCCCACAAGCTAATTTCCCCTCAGCCTCTCCCTCCCTCTCTCCGGGCAGGTCAATAATGCCACAGCACGAGTCATGACCAACAAGAAGACTGCGAACCCCTACACCAATGGTAAGGGGCCTGGAGGAGGCTACAGGGCCACCGGCGGGGGTGGGAGCAGGAGGACCCCAGAATGCTGGAGGCTGGCCTCCCTGGATGCTGAATGGCCCTCGGGTCCCAGCTCTGCCACCATCAGAAGGCGATGGGTCAGCGAGGCAGGAGGAGAGCTGGGCCCCACTGCCACCTCCACCCCCACAGCCGGTGAAACCCCCTCCCCCCATATCGAGCACAGCACCCAGAGGCCTCGGACGGGCTTCAGACGCAGGGGGACAGTGGCCACTTCCTGGATTGTTCCTTATTTTCTAGGCACTGAGGGAGGCCTGGGCTAGAGGCGCTCAGTATTTAACAAGCATGATGACAATTAAAGGGACAGTCCCACCCCCCCCACCCCCAGGCCTTGGAAACACTGAAAGGTGGAGGCCCCGCTGGTCAGTGACGTGCATCAGCTGAGCGGTCTAACGTGTGCGCGCTTGGCACCTGACCGTAAGCAGAGACAGCCAGTTGTGAAGACAAAACTGCTGGTGCTAAACGCTGGCTGTGGCGAGCAGTGGAGGGGCCGCTCTCAGCCGCCACGTGCCTTAACTCTGCCAGGTGAGGGGAACTGGCTTGAGCGTAGCCGGCAACATGCCGGGGCCTTCTGAGCCCCTTCCCCTTTCCAGGGAACAGCAGCCCTGCTCGGTCAGGACGTGCCTCCTGGCAGGGCACAGGCTTTGCTTTCCCACCCCCAGCAGGGACGGAGTGGACTGAGCCGCCCCCAGCCTCTTCCCTGTCTGGTCAGACGCACGTGGAGCCAGTGACGAGCCAGGGTGGAAAGCCTGAGGCGGGACAGTGAGCGGATCTGTCTCCTGACCTGCCAGCTGGGCCTCCCTGTCTGACCTCCTAGGGCAGGGCTAGGGCTCCGGCCGGTCCCTGTTTAGACTAGATTGTCACTCCCATCCTGCTTTTTTGAGGACTGTCAGAGCTCAAGTTCTTTCTGAAAATCTGGGGGTCCCTGCTTTGCACCTGTCTGCAGCGCATGCTGGGGGTGACTTCTGTGACCTGGTGCTTGGCACAGGAAAGGAAGAGGTAGACATTTTGACAGGGTCAGGGTGATCATGAGGGCTGCCCACTCCTCTCCCGAGAGCCATGCGCCCCTGCTTTCTGGGTGCACATAGGATTCAGAAGGGAATCCATCCCTGAACAACCGCATTCTTAGCGGGGAATGGGCACAGAACCCATGCTGGTTGAACGGCAGGGAGTCTGGGGAGGGGGATTTGAAAAGAATCAAGACATCACTCTGCTCATTTCTGCAGCAACAACCATTTCATTTAAACATCTTCACTGGCCTGAGAGAGAGCAACCAGGGCTGCAGTGGCCTGGCCCTGGGCCCCCTGCAGGTGGCAGTGAAGCCGAGCTCATGGGCTTTGGTGACTAAAGGTGCAGCTTGACTTTGTGAACGCTCCAGAGGGCTCAGATTCATCAGTCTAGGGGCAGAAGTATCTGCTGCAGGAAACAAGCTCACAGGTGTGACTGGGTGTTACTATTTGCCAAAGAAACAAAGGACCCACCCAGATGGGTCTCAGGCTGCCTCTGTCGTGTGGGGTCCCAGGTGGTTTCACAGGGCCAGAACAACAGGCGGATGCACCTAGGATTCCAGAAGTGGCAGAGAGAGGTGCCAGGGCCATCAGAGGCGGAAGTGCACCCTCTCAGGCTGGACCCAGGAGGGCTGCTGGACGGAACTGGGTCATTGCCTCCAGGACTCTGTTCCATCGCGGATTTTCACTCAGAAGACTCAGTTCTTGGGACTGGAGCTTTTCTTCCCTCCTGACCTGGCATTTATGGAAGATCACAGAGGCCCAGCAGTAACATTCAGCACAGACATCTGGGCTGCTTGTGGGATGGTGGACCAGGGATGTGAGGCGGCACACAGTCTCCTCTCCAGTGTGGAGAAGCGCCCCGGGAGGAGCGAGGCCCTAGAAACTCCATCCTGGATGCCTCCCAGCCACCAGCCACCAGCCACCAGCCACCAGCCACCTGCCCAGTAGTGGGGCTGTTAGAATCTGGGTTTGGGGATCACAGCTAGATCCTCACACAGTGAAAAGGGACACAGAGCTGGGCCTGGGGTGGGCTGCAGGGATGAGACCCAGGGAAGCTGAGGGGCCAGGGCTGGGCCTGATCAAATGAGCCCACCCGCCCTCACTCCCTGACCACTTGGGGCTCAGCCAGCTGGTTTCCACCCCCAGAGCCACAGGTGGGAGCAGGACTTTGCCCTTGCACCTGGGTCCCTCGTGGGAGAGGAAGACCAGCCTTGGAGCAGCCGTCCCACCTGCAGAGAAGGGGAGGCTGGGGGTCAGCAAATGGCCGGGAGCCTGGGTCTAGAATCCCACGGCTGGTTTGACTCTATCTGGGATCTGGCTCTGCCACTCATCTGCCCTGTGATTCGAGGCTGCTATGCCTCCCTGAGCCTCTTTTGCTCCCCTGTAAAATGAGAGGGCACAACACCTACCTCGGTGGTGGGTCTAGAACATGCGGTAAAGTGCTCTGGAAATGCCAGCTGTCTTCCTCATTATCCCGAATCCCAAGGCCCTTCCTCCTGACCTCCTCCCAGAGCAGCCCTCCCACCAGCTGCTTTGGGGAAAGACAGATACAGGATAGTGAGAGCAGGACTCAACACGGGGAAAGGGAGCCCCTCAGGGGCTCTGTCAGCCCCGGTTGGATGGACAGGAGGTGGAAGAGGTGGCCCGCTAAGGCCACGCACTTACCGGCAGCCCTGACCCACCTGGAAGGCAGCCAGGCCCCACACAAGACATCTCCCACCTTTGGGCTGTCAGACACTAAAGCATGCAGGCCACCAGCACCCCCATCCCAGCTGGGGGTCTGCAGTGTGTCCCACCTTCCTTCCTAGTGCTCTTCTGTAGACAGTGCAGACCCCAAGCTGCTGGGGCTGGTGCCCTGGGGCAGGGGAAGCCCCGGGGCAGGCTAGGGAAGACTGCAATTTGAAAAGAATCAAGACACCAGATGATGGTGGGGAGTGACTGGGTCCCTATTCTTTAGGGAGCAGAGGGCCCTCGGCCAGTGCGGCTGCAGCTTCCCAAGCGGGGCCCAGGGTCTGTTCTCCTGTCTCATCCATCCACCCTGACTGCCGAGGGAGGGGTCCCGCTGGTCCTCCGCAGCGGCCACGCCCTCAGAATGTCCCCATGGGGTTCAGCCTGCAGTCTCTGGGGGTCCCAGGCATAGCGTGAGGTGGGGAGAGACTGGGGAAGACTGATTGGGTTTCTTTGCTTCTCTTCTAGGCTGGAAGCTAAACCCGGTGGTAGGCGCAGTCTACGGGCCTGAATTCTATGCAGGTAAATTTGAGCAGCGCAGCGGGGCTGCGGCGGGCCTGGCCGCGTGTTGGGCCGCCAACGGCCAGGTCGTCCTGGGTGGGAGGCCGTGGCCTTGGGAGACGCGGCCAGGGGCGTGGCTAGGCAGGGACGTAGTCGGTGGGTGTGGCAGGTGGAGGCGTGGTCGGGCGTGGGCGTGACCAGGTGGGTGTGGCCAGGCAGGAGGCGTGGTTGGTAGGGCGTGTCTCGTGAGGCTGCGGTCAGGCTCCAGCCCTCCTGCTTGGCCTCCTTTCAGCATTCCCTCTCACCCTGTCTCCTTTCCGGGCCCCTTTTCCTGCAGTGACGGGGTTCCCCTACCCCACCACCGGCACAGCCGTCGCCTACAGGGGCGCGCACCTACGGGGCCGGGGCCGGGCCGTGTATAATACGTTTCGGGCTGCGCCGCCTCCGCCCCCCATCCCGACTTACGGAGCGTGAGTACCTGGGGGGCACAGGGAGGGAGGCTTGGAGAAAGGCCCAGGGGCGTGGGGAGGGAGGCCTGGGGCAGCCAGAGGGGCTAGGCAGCCTTCCCAGAACTGCGGGGGGAGCTGGGGAACCCCAACCTTCACCCTGCAGTCACCTCCATTTCAGTACCCCCACCTCCACCCTGCCAGGGGATCCCAGGGTCACTGGCATGCGGGGGACGTTTCCACCCCAGGACCTTGTCCCATGCTTTCATGGGTCATGGTCGGCCCTGGAGCTCAGTGGACCTTCTCTAAGCCCTCCCTGGTCCATTCCCTGGAGCCCAGTGCCCTTGACCCCTGATGGGGGGACAGCGGCGTGGGGTGGAGCTGGGGGGGGGTAAGCAAGGTGGGCCTATGGGCCCCTGGGTTTGTGGGAGAAAGGAGCTGACCAGCAAGGGTGTTACTTTATTGTTATACCGAAACAGGGCCCTGGAGCAAACGCTTGTTAAAATGCCAGTCCCGTGGGCAGGGCCGGCACCCTGCCCCCTCCCTGCTCAGCAGACTCCGGAGCCGGCCTACCCCGCCTCTCCAGCGTTCCCACCACTTTCTTGTCCGTTTGCTTCCAGGGTCGTGTATCAGGATGGCTTTTATGGTGCTGAGATTTATGTAAGTGCAGCCCCCAGGAGGGGGAGGGTGGAATCAGGCGTTTCACAGTCAGTGTCTCCCCTCCCTGCCCCCCACCCCCTCCCGTCCTGGGAACCCAAGAGGGCGAGCTCAGCACAGCGCGAAACCTGGCTTATCCGTGCTTGGGTGGGAGCAATAATAGAGCCCCCAGAAGCTGGATGAGCCAGGCACGTCGTCATTTCACAAGGTGCTGTGACGGGGGCAGTAGGTGACTCCTTCATCTCCCTAACCACATTGGGGTCACTGAATGAGTCCCCGAGGGCACCCCATGTCCATTGCAAGGGCCCGGAGAGAGACTAGGAGGTAGGGGCTCCAGGGCGGACCCCTTGATGAGTCCTGTTTCTTCTCTCTCCCTTCGTGGGGCGGCGCTCACCACCTCCTCTAGCTTGGAGCCCTGCAGACAACCCCCACCCCACACAAGGCCTCACTTCCGTCCTGGGCAGTCACCTGTAATTCAACAAGCCATTCCTGCCAGGGCTGAGACGTGGTCTGAGTTAATGCCCTTTGCACCTGACCCGTCCCAGGGTCCAGGGCAGCATCCATGGCTTTGCCAGCATCAAAGTCAGGGGCGCAGCTGGCCTGGCGGCAGGCCTCTGAGCACCTCCTTTGTGTCCAGGCTTTGAACACAGTGAGACGTGTAATTGGTGCGCACCGTGTATGCTGAGTGCACAAATGGAGGCACGAATGAATGAATGAATGAATAGGTGAATGGACACATGCCAGTTGATAGTCTGCAGCCCCCAGGCCTCCACTAGACCAGAAGCCAGGAGCTCCCAGGCCTTCACCAGTTACCCCTCGCTTGGCCATAGTGCGGGTTGAAAGGCTGTATCTGCCCCACTAAGCCTGTGTGCCGTGTCCCCCCCACACTGCAGGGAGGCTATGCTGCCTACAGATACGCTCAGCCAGCAGCAGCAGCGGCGGCTGCCTACAGTGACAGGTACCTGCAGGGGTGGAGAGCGGGGCGGGGAGAGCGGGGCAGGGGCTCGGAGGAGTGGACGGTCCATAGGGCTGGGTTCAGATAGATAGGAAGCCTTACCCCCAGCTCAGGACCTGGGGGTGCCTCCTCCTGGTGGACACAGGGTCTGAACAGAGGAGATCAAGTGAGCTGGGAGACCCCAAGCCAGCAAGCCCTCTTCTGTAATCACTTCCTGCCTGCATGGCAGGGGAGGCCATGGGACACCCCAGTTCTTGGGTAGCAGACAGCTCCTCAGATGCCCAACTTGGAGGCCTGACCTCCCTCCCCGTGCTCTGCAGGCCCCAAGTGAGAAGGGTTACTAGGGACCTCTGATTCTGCCGCTGGGCAGGCCTCTGACCCTTCTCGGCTCCCAGGTCTGAAACCCTTCAGCCTCGAGGAGGGGCAGAGGGGTGTGGTGTGAGCCACTCGGGGGCAGCAGCCTCTGCGGGCTGTGAGCACACCCAGAGGCCAGAGGGTGGTTCTCTTTTGTTTTGAGGGCAGGTCCTCAGTGGGGGTGGCCTGGTCTGGCACCTTGCCCTGTGGGCACCCGGTCTATTGGTCGCAGAGCTCTTGCGTGGGGAAGCATGCAGGCCCCTGTGCACGGTGCACAGTGCGCAGGCAGTGGGCGCTTCGTGGAGGGCAGCCGTTGCTGTGGCCTGGGGACCGCCGGGACCGCCTGGCCCGCCCTCCTGGTGGCAGGGGGCGCCTTCCTCTCAGCCTCATGCTGCGTCCTGCGCCTGGGGGTTTTGTTAGGTGCGCCGCCGGCCAGCACTCAGGGTCAGCACGTGCTGGATGTGATCCAAGGGTGGCCAGCTGTGTTCCCCACACTTCCCTCCCAACAGGCAGGAAGGAGGGAGGGGCCTTGGGGTGCCATCTGGGAGGAGGCCGGAGACCTGCTGCCACCCCTCACCTGCCCCGTCACCTCTCACACCCGCTCCGTGTGCTCCCCTCCCCAGTTACGGCAGAGTCTATGCGGCTGCTGACCCCTACCACCACACCATCGGCCCCGCGGCGACCTACAGCATTGGAACCATGGTAAGGAGGCTGGGGCCGGGCTGCCCCTGTGCCGACTGCGGTGAGAAGGGGATGCGGTCAGGCCCTTAGAGGAGTGACCCCAACCTCAGCCTGGTGCCTGGAAGGACCGAGGCCTGGGTTTGAGTTGTGGGGAGGACTTGCCTCTTTGCGCCCTCATGGAGTTAGAGGGAGACAGGTCTGCCGGACGGCCAGCTGCCCAGTGATGACTGCCAGTCGTCTGGGAAGCGTCCTGGTGTGGTTTTCTGGGCCCTGAAACTAAAATCAGTCCGGGCCCACCATTCCCCCCACCAGGAAAACCAGACCAGACCTCCCGGGCAGAGGCTCCCGGGCAGGCAGGGCTTCCGCTCCTCCTCGTGTGGGTGTGTCTGCGCCACGATCCCTCTGTGTCCTGTCACCCTTGCGTACCTTTCCTCACGTCAAGGTGGGGAACGAGGCCTCCCCGCTGTTTCTCTCCCAGGCCCCTGCTCTGCGGCCCCTCAGTGTCTCCCAGCTGGGTCTGCAGGCCCCCTCCTGGGAAGATGGGGACTCTGCCCGCTAGTTTCGGGGGGTGCAGGGAGTGCACTCCCGATGGGCTTGCTGAGGCCGGAGTGGGTTGTGTGTGTGTGTGTGTGTGTGTGTCCAGCTGTCAACACATACAGCCCAATTCACTTTCTACCCCGAGATCTGCTTCCAGTGGACACCGACCTCCCAGGCGCACCTGGCCCCCAGCCCCAGGGGGTGTTAATGTCGGTTTTTAGCTAGCTTGGCATCCAGCATCAAAGATGAAAACATTTTTGGGGGGTGTAAAGAGGGAGGAGGTTCAGAAACGACCTGGATTTTTTTTTCTACCTCCCTTGGTTTTGATTACTGCTTCCTGATTTTTGTTTTGTTTTGTTTTGGGTTTTGGGTTTTTTGGGTTTTTTTTTTTTAACGAGCCTCAGACATCCCATGCAGCTTGCGGTGACTGCTGGGCGCCACTGGGCGCAGGCGTCTAGGGGGCCACACCCACTCCCAGATGGAGGCCCTGAAGCTATGGCCTGCAGGCCCCTTGGCTCCAGGATCAGCCCGGCCCTCCACGCAGCTGCTAGCTAAAAGCTCTCATTAATTCTTAAGAGGGTTCTCTCTTCTGTTTTGAGTGTTTTTTTTTTTAAGATTATTCCATTTTTTCCCCCAACTTTTCTTCTTTGGCACTTGCCACTTCCTTCCTTTTCTGGAGAAATTGGTGGGTAGGGTGGGAGGTTCCGGTGCAGGCCTCCCCTAACCCAGGGGAGCCCAGGGGATGGGAGAGCGAGGGTGCCAAAGACCTGTCCTCCCCCGGCAGGATGGAGGAGGTGCAGGGACCCCAGAAGGCCCCTTGGAGCTGGATGTGCAGACACAGCCCCTCCTGGTGGAGCCAAAGGCCCAGGAACCCTGACGGGAGGCCCCTCCAGCCTCCAGTGTCTGGGTGTCTGGAGGGGATGAGTCCCGTCCCCTGCAGCCCCACTGGGCGCTGAGGAGGCAGGGCTCACTCAGAACTCCCTCAGCCCCAGACGACCTAGCAAGGGGGGCAGGGAAGGGCCAGGCCTGAGCCAAGAGAGTGGCCCAGAGACATCTCAAACCCTGTTATCCAGAAACATGCCTGGTGGCCCCAGCATCCTCCTGGCCTCGAGACCACCATGTCCGAAATAGGCCCAGGGCCCCTCCTGCTGCCAGGACAGCACACAGCCACGCTCCCCGAGACAGACCAGAAGGGGGGCAGAAAACGGGATTAAGCGGTTTCTTTTTTTTTCCTTACTTTTTTTTTCTTTTTGCATTTTCCCCCCTCCCAAAAGGCGGTACTGATTGGCTGTTTTTCATCTTTGATGTTGCAGGCTAGCCTCTGCCGAGGAGGGTACAGCCGCTTCACCCCCTACTAGCAAGAGGCCCAGCCCCTAACAGCATTCACACTGACTGCCTAGTACACACCAAACCCAGCAGTCCAAAACCAGGCACAGCCACCAGGAGGACAGTGCGCCCCCCCGGTCAGCGACACGCGCCGCTGACCTCCGCGACTCTAAGTCCATAGGTTTTACCTCCGGCCAGCTGGTCTCCCCCCACGATGGCGTGTGTGTCTTTGACCCTAGTCACCCCCGTATGTCTGAAACCTTGGTTCCTATTTTGACTTTGTTGACATTGTGCCCCCCCCAAGCCATTTCAGGTACGGTATGCACAGAGTGGGAGGGGCTAGGCGGGGCCGGAGACCCCTCCCCGAGAAATAGCAATATTGCCCATCCCCTGGGCTACAGAAGACCCGGCCCTGCCTTCCCAGGAAGCCACCCCAGCCAGTCTGGGCCACAGCCCCAGTCCCTCCCCTGGGGTTCGGAGAGCGAGGGGCTCCCTCCTGCCCCAGCTGGTGGGCTCCCAGCCTCGACAGTCCTCTCCCAACCGTCACCCGCCAAGTCACAGGAGCAGCTGAGTCTGCCCAGCTCGTCCCCACCCAGTTAAAGTAACGTTTCTGATTGAATTTTATTGACGTTTCCGGCTGAAGTTGTCACAAGTCGTGGGGAAGCCACACCAGCCCCAGAGGGGCCTCAGCCTGTGTTGTAGGAAATCAAAGTGCAGGAAGAAATTTCCCTGCCCCAGAGCCCGAAAGCGGTCCAGCCCTGGAGCGCCTCAGCCCATCTGCCCCACCGCCATCAGGCCTCTCCCCTCTGGCCACAGTCCTGAGATGGGGTCCCTGCCAGCCCGGCACCTCGGTTTGCCCTTGAGAACAGCTCTGCCTCCCCTTCCCTGAGCTCGAAACGCCCTCTTATCAGGGTCCATTTGCAAAGAGGGAGCCTGAGCGAGAGAACAGGAGAGGCAATGCCTGTCCTCGGGCCTTCCTGGCAGGACAGTGCTCAGTGTCCACCTCCCGTCCTGCGAGGCTCGGGCTTAGCTCTGCCGCAGGGCTCTGGGGCCTGCAGGGAAAGCTGAGACAGCAAAGGAGCTTCTGGAAGAGTCCACCCAGACAGGCCAGGGCCCTGCCACGTGCACCCACCACCTCCGTTACAGGAAAAGGTGGCACAGGCTGAGGAGGCCCTTGTCTCCTTCGCGCCAGAGTGAGGCTTCCAGGGACAGATGGCCACCTAGAGGGTGTGGGTCCCCACCAGCCCCCACACAATCGTCCACCCGCTCTGCCGGCCCGTGGGCTCCTTACTGGTGGAGTGGACAGGTTACGCCCAGGGTCTGGCTGGCTCTTGTCCACTGCCCAGGGCACCTGCTAAGCTGCCTCATTCCAAGCCCCCAATACCGTCCACACCCTACGCCCCAACCTCTGTCCTCGTCCCACCCAAAGCAGCCAGGCCCTGCCCACCGAGCTCTTGGATCCCGCAGCTGCATCCGGCAGCCGGGCTCACTGTGGTTTCTGTACTCCTCCCGCCACTTCTGCCTCAACAGGCCATGCTCTGTCTGCCCTGGAGGCCTGAGACCCGCAGTGAATTCACTTATGCAAGATGAGGGGGCTGCTGAGATCTGGGAGTGGGGCCAGTTTTGGGGGGGTACCTGCCCAGCACCCTGGGGGTCCCGGGTCCCACTGCCCCCATGGCACACTTGGCCATTGCTTCTGTCAAACTGCAAGTCCTGCCTTTCTGTTTCTGTTGTAGTGAAAGCTTCCGCCGTTTCCTTCTCGGACCGTGAAGGGCAAAAACAAAAAAACACAAAAAAATCACAAAACAAAAAAACAAAACAAAAAAAGATGTTCAGATCCAAGCAACAAAACCACCAACCAAACCGAGAAGCATCTACCACGTCCGAGTCCGCGAGCCCGTGAGCTGTCGCACCGCAGCCCGCAGCCAGCGAGGGAGCAGGTCCACGGCCCTCGGCCTCCCGCGGCGCTGGCAGGAGGGGGCGGGAGCGGAGGGCCTCCGTTTTCTACCGTGTCTTCCTTCCGGCCCCTCTCCGCGGCAGTGTGGGGCCCAGTGGGCTGTGTGGAGGTGGTGGCGAGCGGCCACAGGCCTGAGCGGAAGAGTGGCCAGTGGACTTGACCTTGGTTGCCAGTGGAGGGACTGCTGGGCTGGGCTGGCAGGCGCGGGGAGGGGGACAGCTTTTCATCCCGGGGCTTCAGCCATGCCTGTGACCCCGTGTCTCGTGCTCCGGGCCCCAGCTACCCCTCCTGCCGCACAGCCAGCACAGCCAGCACCGTGTCCTGCATACCCGAGGAGGAGTCTGCAGCCTCTGGATGCCATCTGGCCAGCAGCTCAGGGGGCTGACCCCAACGCCAAGGGCTGATGTGTTTCCAGAACTGTGGGGCACCCAGGCCCCCTCGTTCCATGCTAGGGGACTTCCAGCGGCCCAGCCAGGCTCAGCTCCTCGCACCTAAGAGCCTAAGAGCGTGGGCAGGTCGGGGTCTTGGGGCCCACGACTTGCTCTGACTGGTTTCCTGTTCCCTTTCTGGTAGAGGCCCTGGGCCTGGTCCAGGGGAGGGAAGGCTGGCCTCACGCTGCAGAGCCTGGTCCTGCGGGGGAGAAGAGGGACAGGACCAGCTGGCGCCTGGCTGCATGGCGAGGCTGGGGTCACGGTGCTATGGGTCGGGACGGCTATGGGTCAGAGTAGGGAGAGCGAGGGGTGGGGGCAGGCCTGGGTGGTCCGCAGACCCCCTCCCCTGGCCTCCCGGGTTAGGTCCTGAGGTGGTGGGGGCAGCAGACCGTAGGCAGCGGGGAAGAGCCCCTGGCCAGGCAGGGAGAGCTGGAGGGGGGAAGCAGCCAAAATAAATTAATTAATTAATAACAAAAGATGTAGGCTCCCAACATGGCTCCACTGTCTCATGAAACTTAAAAAAAAATACACCTCACTTTATATTCAGCATCAGCTCCTGAAGCTACTGGGATGAGTCTCCTTTTCTATTCCGGGTGTACATAGCCCCGCCCTGCCTCCGGCTTCGTCCTCTGTACAGCCCCCTTCCCCCCTGGCCCGCCCTCGGCCGCTCCGGACCCTTTTCTTGCAGCAGCTCCGCCCCTGCCCCGCGCCCTCCCGCCCCTCCCACCCCAGGACTGCAGCCAGGCCCCAGGCTTCCTTTCTTACCATTCTGTATGCTTCCAAGGTGTGACCATCCAAATCAACAGTATTATTATTATTAAGATTATTAATAAAGATTTCTTTCTTCAAACCAGGACAACTCTTTTTGATTTGCCAGCTCCGAGGGACAGAGGGTGGAGGGCACGGGACGCCCAGTGGGGTTGGGCCAAGGACAGGCAACTTCTCCCAGGAATCCAGGGGGGAGTCGGAAGGCCCTTCTAGGAGAGATTCCAGAGCCCCTGGCCTCTCCTCCGGACTTTCGTCTCCCCTCACCCCGACCCAGGAGTCTGGAGGCAGGGCTCGCGCCTGCTCCCCGCGACCTCACCCTGTCTACCTGCGGGGAAGGTCTGCGAAGTTACTGGCAGAAGGGCTCCCCCCTGCCCCGGCTGCTGAGTGGTGGCTGCTCCGCACGTGCGCCGGGAGGGGCCTGACCGCACGCCGCCCCCAGCCCCGAGCCGCGGGGCAGGCACCCGAATGCCAGGGCGCCCGGCCGGCCGTTTGTCGCGAGGAACAGCGCTGCCTGAAGGTACGTCCACTGCTCCAGCCCCGGGTGAGTCCCCCGCCCTGGAGGGGTCGGGTAGGGGAGAGTGGCCGCCATCCTCGACCCCCCAGAAGAGGAGGGAGAGCTGGGAAGGGCAGCAGCAGAATCCGAACCGGGAGCTTGAGAGCCTTGGGCTGGGGCTGCGGGTAGGGGGTAGGGGGGCGGGTTCCACACGCCTCACGGAGAGGTGCGTTCTTCATTTTTCACAGCGTCGGATAATTTATTTCAGAGCGATTACACACACCAGAGGGGCACAGGCTTAAATGCCGACATACTAATTTTCCTGCCTACGAGCCTTTCTGTCGGCGGGACTGGGGACGCTGCTCTCGGGGAGCTGGGTCTGCGATCCCGCGCACGCCACGCTCTGCTAAACCCCTTCCTTCTAATCGCTTGCTCACCAGACTGTGAGAAAATAATTGCCACTATAAATTTTCCCTCCTTCTCTGCATAAAATATTCAGAGAACCAGCACTTAAAAAAAAAGTCCCCTGAAGTCAGAGCAGCAGGCATTACAGCTGCGCTGCCCCTGCCGGACTCCCACCTCTGGAGACTCGGGCGGTGGGGGCGCCAGGAGCCCCCACCCCAGTTCAAAGTGGGAGAGGCTCAGAGCATTCCAGAGGACCTCGGGAGAGCGGTTCCCCGTGGCAGCGGCTCATGCTGGAGGCCCCCGACCCCAACAGTCCCCTGATGACTCACAGGGAGACCCGGATGGGGGGCAGTGCTGGGACACCTGTGCGGTCAGACAGCGCGGTGTCCTCCTGTCCTGCAGGAGCTACCTCCCCCCACCTCGCCCCTGGGCAAACCTGGTCCCGTCCTGGGACTGAGCTAGGCCACACGTGTGGGACATGAAGAGTAAAACATTCCAAAATTAGGAAAGACGTGGAACGTGCGTTCCTGCCTCGAGCTGTGAAAGGGGCACGTAGGCACCTGGGAAGCAGGGCAGGTGGAGACCGAGGCAAACGCGGGCCCCGGAAGGAGACTCCCTCTGTCCCACCCCCTTCCAATTCCTCTCCGAATTCCGAGGACCAGGACTGAGGCGGTGCGGCTGCACTGCCGCCTGGCGGCCTCTCGCCTCACTGCAGCGTAAAATCAAGTCCTCTGGCCCCCAGCTGGTACAGGCCAGCCCTTGGGTGTGACCTCCAGCTGGGACGTCACGCCAGTGTCCTGGCCCTTGGTGCCTGTCCACGTCTCGGAGCACGGGGAGGACAAGAGGATCGAGAAGGCAACCCCTATCGTTGGCCTATGAGGTCTTGGGGGAGAGACCTCAAACATGAGGTGCTGACAGCCTTTGTCAAAGGGTCACAGCAGAGCCTGCTCAGGCCTGCAGAGGGGAGGGGAGCAGGGTTACCCAAAGTTGCAGGGTCGAGAGATGCTCCCCGCCCTGCCAGGAAGCCATCACAGTGGCCAAGGCGTTAATGGTGGCGGGGGGGGGGCGGTCTCTGTAGCTGGAGAACAGGAGCTGTGCGGCTGGAGGGGCCCGGCTCCCTTACCCCCCATCCTCCCGGTGCAGAGCCACTGGGCAGCCTCAGCTCAGGCAGAAGAAAGGAGGGCCACTGTCCCTGCAACGTGATGCTCCAGGCTAACCAGGCTAACACTTGCTCAGGGGAGCTGCTGAGTGGGAGGGCGAGAGGGAGGGAGCGGCCCAGAGCGCCCGCAGGGCCGAGGGCTGCTGGGTGCAGTGGGAGGGCCTTCCTAGGCCCTGTCCAGGGCCCCTGCTGCCTCAGCTGGGACAGCCTTGCTCCTGCCTACGACCCGGAAGAGATGAAGCAGGACACAGGGCTGATGGGAACGCCCCAGTGGCTCTGGCTCAGGGCGACAGTAAACTGGGAAAGCCAGGGCATGAGGTGGTCTGGCCCACGTGCCCACCCCATACAGAGTAGGGTGTGACCTGGCACAGCCTGGCCCTGAGTTCCCACTCCTGGGGAAGAGGGCTCCCCAGGCACCCCCCCGTACCTGTGGGGCCACTGTTCCTGCACCCCCACCCCAACTCTGTGCCCCCTTCGGGGCCCCTGTATCTCAGTGCCCCCCTGGGAACTGTCTAGGGCCTGCTCCAAGACCCTCCTGGCACAGTTAGGCTTGTTCCTAATTGCTCCACCTGCGGGAACGAAGGGTCACTGTTTCAGCATAAGCATGTCTCACCCTATTAGGAGGTACCCTTTATGGAATTTTCTAGACTAAACTTCCCCAAATCTTTTCACTTGTACCTGGAAACTGTATACTACGGAGAGGGATTAGACAAAAGGAGGGGGGTCCGTCAACCCAGTAAACAGACTGCTTGGTTGTCCTATCACCACGCCCCAGGAGCAGCACAGCCCCAGCTCTGGGGCCCAGCTCTCCCACACTCCGCGTGGGGCCCGGCGCTAGGAAGCCTCAGCCTGGAGGTGGAGACGGTGCTTTAATGTTGGCTCACGTGCGGGGCATGGAGTAGAGCATGGCTGCCCTGCCCCACTCGGCCCGCGGCACCAGAAACCCCTCCTTGGGGACAGGCTCTACCAGGAACTCCACCCGGCCATCCCGGCCTGGCCCTGCAGGTGCCACTGCCAAGTCCACGATCCGATACCGGTTGATAAAAGCCAGGCCCAAGAACGTGGGCTTCTCTGGCTCTGAAAGGCCCCTGCCCGGAGAGCCCCCTCCTGTCCCTCGGCAGCAGTGGACCCGGAAGCAGCGGACGTGGGGGAGGAGGTAGGACCAGTGCAGAGTACAGCTCAGCCGGAGCCCAGCAGGGCGGCCCTCGCCCTCGGAGGCGGCGGCCTGCCAGCGCACGTGGGAGATGGTCACGGCCTGCACTTGGGGCAGCGGGGCCAGCAGGCTGTTGGCATCCACCACCTGGCGGGAGACAGAAGTCTCAGCACCACCCAGAGGCCCAAGGAGCTTGAAGGGCTCCGGGCCCTGCCACTTCCCACTCGCCGGCACCTCTGGGCCACAGGAGGGAGCTGGTGGGTGCCCCGCCTCGTCTGCATGGGACAGACACACCAGCCCGGCCCCAGCCAGGTCCCTGGGACACCATACCTGGATCTCTCCAAGGCGACAGGTGAAGTTCTCCTCCTCCTGGCTGCCTGGAGGCCGCGAGAAACTGACGAAGAGGTCCTGCAGGAGGCAGCCCCGCAGACTGACCTCATAGCAGCTGGGAGAGGCAGACAGAGGCCAGTCACGAGGAGCCTCAGCTCGGCACCTTCAGGCTGGCTGCTCACAGAGGCCCCGAGCCAGGGGGTGGTCCTCCCCTCAGTGGACTCTGTGGTCAGTGGCCCTTCTAGTGAGCATCTGGGGCTTGTGCTATTCAGCTGTCTGAAACCTGGGGGTCAGCCCAAGGCCCCTCCATCCCTCAATCCCCCCACCACAGTGTGGCCGTGCCCTGCTGGGGACTCCACAGGAAGGAGAGGGACTCACCGCTGGACCCAGCCCCCGCTGAGCTGCTGGCCACAGCGGCCCACCCATCTGGCCAGCTTGGTCGGGGGCACCCGGAGGGGTCGGGGACTGTGCCTTGAGCTCGTTTCTGCTGGGGAAAGAGACACGGGACTTAAACAAGGAAAATGCGAAGGAAATCGCACTGAGCAGGGAGTTCGGGGGGCCAGCAAGACTCCCTGGTGGCCTGATAGGCCGAGGCCTCGGGGACGGATGCCCAGGACTGGCTCTCCCCGTCTTCGCGAACATCCTCCCTGTCAGGGCACAGCTGGCGGGAAACCTGCCGCAGGAGCACATGTCCAACCCCACGCCGCCGGGCCGCAGCCCAGAGGTTCTGGCTGAGAGAGGAACCTCCCAGTCCCGGCCTGGACCACAGGGGCACCGCCAACCCCAGCTCCCCACACATTCTGTGAATCTTGTAGACTCCTCCAACCGCATCACCTCACCGTTCAGCATCATGATGCCTCCAACGTGACAGCTGCCTGCATCGCCTGTGGTGAGCTCCAAAGCCACCCCCACAGCTGAGGGCCCTTCTAGCTTGTACACCAGAGACAGGAAGATCTTGGGCGGCACTGGGACCTGCAGGGAGAATAACCTGGAGGAGGAAGGTCCCCAATGAGAAGCTGCGGGGACACTGCCGAGAAGAAGGAGATGTGCCAGATCACGTCCGCCAACCTCTCTCCAGGAACAGGGAGGGGAGCGGGCTGCTCAGTGAGGACGACCTCAGATCTGCAGGATGAGAATGCTTGGAGGGTGCCTGCACAGCCGCATGCAGAAAGCTGGCTCTCCTGGACACTTCGAAATGGCAAAGAGGGTAAATAAACTGTGTGTTGCATGTTCTTCATAAAAGAAACAAAATCCCAGCTCTGTCCTCATTCTAGCCGCTGTTGCCCACCTACCCAGTTGAGCAACCGACATGGATGGTAGGAGAAGCTGAGGGGCCCCACGTCTCGGCCCCACTCATTCACCTACCTCACAGCCACGTTTCCAACCTTGGGCGGAATCACCCCCCGGATCAGCAGAGAGCTGCCCCCGTTCCAGGCATCCGCCAGGCAGCAGTGCGTCTTCACCCAGCCCCGTCCGTCCCCTTCCAGCCTGTGCTCTCCAAACAGGGGCTGGATCTCCTGGGCGTTCGGGTGGTACCAGGGCCCCACGGCCTCCTCCTGGAGGAAGAGGCAGAAGTGGAAGGAGGGCTGGGGGCAGACAGAGCTTCCATCCCTGAGGCCCCTCCCACCTGTCCCAGGTGAGCCCCAAAGATGCGGCGAGAAGGCAGCCCCTTCACCAAGATTCAGCACATCAAGGAAGCCCCGGGCCCCCCAGCGCGGGAACCACATACCTGGCCATAGCAGACTCTTCGAGTCCCCATGCCCAGGCAGAAGGAAGTGACAAAGGGTAAGGAGCAGATGCTATGCGTGGGCAGATAGCGTTCCAGCAAACTCCAGAACCTGCAGAGAAATGCAAGGGTGCAGCAGCTCAGGTCCACGGGGCACCTCAAACTCGGTCTCATGAATCAAGCTTTCCCGCATCCTCTCCCAAGTGACCACAGCTCTCCCACTGCAAGTCTGCAGGAAGGGGTCCCTCAGGGTCCCCAGCCTTCATCTTCCCTGAGTGACTGGTCTCCAGGACCCCCAGGAGCAGCCCAGGTGGCTGAGCCCCTCACCCTCCCTGCCTTAACCACCCTTAACTCCGGGGGTGGGGGAAACAAGGCCAGTAGCAGGGGAAATCACCTAAGACCCTCCCTGCCATTGGCCCCGGGACGTGCAGGACTCACTTGTCCTGGTTCTGGAAGAAATCCGCCTTCTCCAAACACTCATACACCCAGCCAGGCGCAAACAGAGCCGCGGAGAACCCGTGCTTCCGGATCAGCTCCAGGGACTAGGGAGACAACAGTCAGGGAGGTGCCCCGCCCCAGCAACCAGGGCACATTGAGGCCCAGCCGGCGTCCATGCGCGGACAGCTGGCCTGGGGCTGGGGGGATGGCTGAGGGGAGTGCTGCCTCGAAAGAGGAGGCGGGGCCCCAGCTCCGCGCGGGGCTTCTAGGGCTCACCCCTGCAGTTCCGCGGCCGACCAGAAGAGGGCGCCAGGCGCGGAGGCCACTGTCAGCGGGGGCAGGGGTGTACACGTGGGGGCCCACGGGCTACACTTCTCTCTCACTGCACCGCGCATTATACTATCAGATTCAGAGGGGGCAGAGAGAATCTTCAGTTACTGGATTAATTTATTCATTTAAAGCTTAATTAATGAGTTGAGAACGTCCCAGTGGCACCAGGGAAGGGCAAGATTGACAGCCTCGGGACAGGCTGCTTCCCTGTTTATCTCACACCAGGCGCAGCAGCCCCCCGCAACCCCCTCTTCTCTTTTCTCACTGCCAACACGCCTTGCCTTGCCAGGGAAACCTCACTAATTATCAAGCCAGCAGTTCCCCAAACTGCCGTGGTCACCTCAGTCCTGAGCCCTGAGTCAACTCTGCACGACGGTTTGAAATGCTAGCTCAGTGTCCTTCCTCCAAAAGGAAGTAAAGCTGCAGAGGACCAGAGGACACCAGCGGTGGGGACAGGCACTTTGTCCATGAACACCTGGGTGGAAGTTTCACCATCTGACTGCAGGGATAGGCTGGAGTTAGGATTTAGGGCACAGCTTGTTTCTGGTGCCTGATTTTCCACTCGGGGAGAATCACGGCTGTCTCTTTCTCTTGAGGGGCAGCAGGGAATGAAAGGTCTCCAAGAAAACCAGGCCCCCCGGGGACATGCAGGCCACTGCCACCACCTCCCGGCCTCCAAGGCCACCACCCACCTTGTCCGTGTCGAACCGGCCCCCAACGACGCTCCCCCGGGCGAACACGTCCACGCCCACGTACACATCGGCCAGGCGCTCCCCCGCCTGCCCCAGCATCCGCTCCAGATGCTCCTCCCGCCAGTTATAGTTGGTGAAGAAGCCGTCGCAGGAATCGAAGAAGACCCTGGGGGCGGCAAGGGCCGGCATGAAGCCCAGTCCATCTCCACCTTCTCCCCAAACACTTGCATCTACTCAGCTCTCGGATTGCAGGCTGCCTCCAGGACCGGGTGGAGTCTGCTCCCAAGGAGCAGGGACTCGGCCCACAGACTGCAGCTCAGAACCCCGGGCACAGCAGGGCTGACAAGGTGCTAGTTCCGTCTGGTGGGGGTCAAGGATCAGATGGCTGCGCCTTCTCCCTCATTTCACCCGAGGCAGCGGTGTCCACGAGGCCTCCAGGAGGCAGAGGGAGCTCCCGCCCCTGCCCCGGGGCCCCGGCTGCCCTCCCTCAGGCTCACCTGTTCTGCTGGTTTAGCTCATCCTGCCATCTGAGCTGCCCACTGCTCACCACGCTGTCATACCAGAGCACCAGGCCCCTTGGGACCTGCTGGTGCAGCCGGGCGGTCAGGTACCGGAGGAAATGGGGCAGGTTTCCCACGGCGGCCAGCTGGAGAGAGGGGCAGTGACAGACCCTCTGTGAGGCCCAGAGAGGCCTGTTGTGAGATGTGCCTGGCACAGGACATACAGGACACTTAACCCCAAGGCAAACAGGTCCACCAAAAAGCCATGGTCCTGGAAGCCCCTCAACCCCACAGGCTCCAGCAGAGGGTCCAGCCAGATGCGCAACTTCCCTTCCTTTCTGAAGCAGGAAGGACATGGACACAGCAATTGGGAAAAGATAAAACGTGAAGGGGAGGGAGGAAACCACACATGCAGCCCAAGCAAAGCAGAGGTGGAGGAGGAGGAGAGTATCGCCTCGGAGGAGCCGGAGAAGCAAGGCTCAACTGGAGAACATCCGTCTCCCTGTGGAGGAACGGAGATGCCGGAGCCAGCGCTCACTGACGATCAGGAAGTGCGATCGTGATGGGGGACAGCCTGGGGAAGCTGAGGGGCGCGGTGGAGGGTCACCAGGCGGCCCCCGGGCCAGGCGGGACGGGTGCAGGGAGAAGGGCGTGCTCACACTCAGGGAGTTCTCAATGTTGATCAGCCAGCCATCGAATCGGAAAAACTGGGCCATCAGGACCAGCTGGTCTGCCACTGCCTGGTGCGAGCGCGCATCCCCAGCCAGGAAGGCCTCGCACAGCTGCTCCCCTTTTTTCCACTCGGTGATGAAAGTCCCTGTGGGACGGGACAGGAGAGCAACGAGTCAGGCTGGGGGATCGCGTCCCCTCCGACCCAGCAGTTTCCGAGGTGCATTCCTGCACCAGCAGCTTCAGCACCACCTGCAAACCGGTTAGATATTCGAATTTCCAGTGTCCCCTGATATCAAGCGAATCAGATGCCATGGGGGAAGGGCCCCGAAATCAGTGTCAAAGGGATAAACAGTCTGGATGCAGGAGAAAGCTGGAGAAGTGGGCTCTTCCCAGGGGGTGACCGCCTACGGCCGGCATCCAGCCCCCACCGCTTTCTGTAAAAAGTTTTACTAGATCACAGCCAGTTGTTTGTCTGTTGTCTGTGGCCGCCCCTGTCTCACTGGCAGTTCCGATAGTGATCCAGGGGCCTGGAATGTGGAAAATGTTTACTATCTGGTCCTTTCCAGAACAAGTTTGCCTTTGCCTGTCTTAACCCATCAAGGCAGGTAAGGAGCTCTACCCATGAAGCAGCAGCCAAAGCCCGGCAGGTGTGCCAATGAGTCTGGCTAACCGGAGGCGAGTCCTCGGCGCTCACCTAGCATGCAGACCCCATGCCTGTGGGCAGCATTGGTCCAGCTGACTGGGGGGATGGTGACCGTGTGATGGCTGAAGTACACAAAGATGTCGATGTACTGCCAGTGGTAGAAGGAGTACGGGGTCTGTGCAGCTGAGCCCTGAATAAACCTGGGCGAGGAGAGAGGACCAGGTGAGAACCCAGCAAACAGAACACAGACACAGCCACCTGAAAGTAGAGAGGGCAACCGAGAGTGATGTTTCTCTTCAGTACCGTCTAGTTGACACTACCTGCAAGCGGGCTAGCGACTAGGGGGAGAAGTAGGACCAAGCCACAGCCTGGAGGTCAAGAGGGTTCATCTTAAGGGAAACGTTTTCCCCAGGCCGTGTGGTATCTGCCCTCGGAACCCACGGACTGAGCGTGTTTAGCCTCAACAAACAGAGGAATGCAGGACAGAAGGAAAGAGGTGGGGAAGGGCTCACGCAGAGCTCCGAGTGCCTGGGGTCCTGCTCTGTTCTGAGGTCAGCAGTCTCTCCAGGACACGTCCTGTGCGTGTAAGGTTGGGGCTGACAAACACATGTGCTGGACCCTAGGGTTCATCCCCTCACTATCTCTGTCCCTTGATGGCCGGCTCTGACTCGAGCCGTCCCATCACCGCGTCCAAGATTGTTTCATAGACGCTTAAGATCTCTAAGTTGAGCCCACGGCAACTGGAGGAAATGCTCCTGGCTAGGGTGGGAGAGGGTGGAACAACTCCAGAGCCCTGGGGCCAAGATGGAATCAGAGCTCGAGTGAGGAAGATGAAGAAAAGAAATCAGCTCTTCTGAAGAACCGAGTTTCCAGGCCCGGCAGTCTGAAGGGGGTCCCTGCTGTAGTGCCCCCACCAGCCTAAGATTTCAAGTCTTAGGCAAGCCCCCAAAGTCAAACAATTTCAGAGCTGAAAGAGGCATAAACTGTCGCCTAATCCAGCCCCCTCTTCTTACAGATGAAATACTGAGGCCAGGCTTCCTCTCCCAGTTGGTGGCAGTCTGGCCTGGTAGCCCGTCTCCTGACTCCCCATCCCGTGCTCTGCCACGTGGCATCCTCCCACCCCACTTCCTCCCACCAGGAGATGCCCTCGCAATGTGCTCACTTGTCATCCAGGTACCCGCCCATCATGTCGTGACATATCAAGGTCCGGGGCCTCCCGCTGCTCAGAGGAGGCTGACGACACTCAGGGGGCCCCAAGGCCACGTTAAAGCCTTCCTCCACGTCAGGTGTCCACGCCAAGAGTTCCTCCAGGGAAGACAAGTAAAAGCTGATGGGCTTAGTGGTGTCCTTGTCATAATATCTGTCTGGTCAGAGGAGGGAAACAGTGAGGAATCAGTGGAAATCATGGGATTCATAACAGAGTTTGAGATGGGATGCAGGGTAGTAGGGGAAGCCCTGCGCCCAAGCCCCCAGAGTGAAAACGGAGACTGTTCAGAGCCTGCATCCTTCTCACCTGGCAACGGGTCGGGAGTAAAACTGACCACTTCTCGAAAGACTGCTTCTTGATCCTCTTCAATTCTGAGCAAAGAGGGAGTTAAAATTTTCTTTTTAATAAAAGGGCAAAGAAAAAGAACACTTAGAAGCAAATGGACCAGGCCCCATGTGTCATGGAGAGGGAGATGTTCTCTGACTTACATTTTTTTAATACAAACTATGGAAACGTACCTTTGCTCCTTCTGTTCCCTCAAACTGAACACCCTTCTCTTCATTCTCCTACTGAAATCATTATTCTCCCTAAAGACCCAGTTTAGGTGTTCCCTGCGCCAGGCACCACGCCTTTCCTGCCCAGTGTGAGCACGAATAAAGCTAATTACACCCGCTGGCCTCCACTGAGTAATTACAGGTGCCACGCTAGGATCCTCTGCGCAGACCCACGGCCACGGGAGGTGGGCATGATCGACCCATTTCGCAGATGAGGACGCCGGGGCTTCCCGCACGCGGGGCCAGGATTCCCGGGCCCGCTGCTTCTGGGGTCGCACCGCGGTACCGGATCCGGTCCGTGTCTGCTGCTATGCGGTGCGGTAAGGCGGGCAGGACCTGCGGCGGGCAGGACCTGCGGCGGACAGGGGACGTGAGGGCCGGAGAC